AGAGCCGGGAAAGCATTGGCTGCGCTTTTACGGCAAAAGAGGCAAAATGCGAAAATACCGTTCCTTGTAAACTCACTGGGAAATAAGGTGTATAATCCCCATGATATCCACAACATGTTGGCTGACTATTACGAATCATTGTATAACTTAAACAGAGATGAACACACGCACCAGCCACTGGTCACAGACATTAATACATTCCTAACGGAAGCCCACACGCGTCAACTTACGCAGGAAGACTGCACCCTTCTGAACGACCCTATCACTCAGACTGAAATAACGCACACAATTAAGACCCTTCCAAAAGGGAAATCACCCGGCCCAGACGGCTTTATAAATTTATATTACAAAGCCTTCTCACATATTTTAGCCCCCACACTAGAAAAACTTTACAACACTATCCTCAAGACAGGCAAAGTACCAAAGGAGATGCTAATGGCTCACATAACAACACTGCCAAAACCTGGGAAACCACCACACAAATGCCAGAATTTACGGCCCATATCTCTCCTAAATACAGACTTAAAAATACTGGCAAAAATCTATGCAAATAGGTTGGGAAATATTCTCCCCAAACTAATTCGGGACGACCAGGTGGGCTTTGTTCGCGGTAGGCAGGGCTCGGATGGGACGAGGAAACTAGTAAATATCATCCACAGAATTCACACAACCGGGGTGCCCAGTGTAGCACTGTCATTAGATGCTGAGAAAGCGTTTGACAGGCTGCACTGGGGATACCTATTAGCTGTACTGAGGAGGTTTGCCTTCCCAGACCGTTTCATTACCTTGGTATCCGCGCTCTATGACAACCCTACAGCGAGGATAGCGAATGGAGGCTTCACCTCCAAGCTATTTCGGGTTTCTAATGGGTCCAGGCAGGGCTGTCCGCTCTCCCCGTTGCTCTACATACTGGCATTGGAACCCCTAGCACAACACATAAGAGATTCTCAAGACATTGCAGGGATTGAAGTAGGAGGAAACACACATAAAATCACCCTGTTCGCCGATGATGTTATGCTCACACTGTCTAAGCCGGACACCTCATTAGAGCAACTTCAAAAACTACTAACACGATTTAGTGCTTGCTCCTACTATAAACTCAATATCAGTAAGACACAAGCCATGGGCCTAAATCTCACTACAGAACAACTGACTATGCTGCAAGGCAAACACACATATGACTGGAGAAAGGATCACTTGACATTCCTAGGGATCCACCTCACACCCACAATAAGGAAACTATATAAAGCGAATTACCTAAAATTACTAGGTAACATCAAACAACAGCTGCACAGCTGGAAAGGGAAATACATCTCGTGGACTGGTAGGATAGTGGCAGCAAAAATGATGGTACTGCCCAAGCTCCAGTATTTATTCAGAACACTCCAGATAGGCCTGCCAAAGACATTCTTTACAGAGGCCCAAAGCATGCTAAACGGGTTTATCTGGGGAGGGAAACGACCCAGGATAGCGGCGCCCGCCATGTATAAGCCCTTTAAAGAGGGTGGGATGGGGGCGCCTGATTTAACAAGATACTACACAGCGGCCTTAATGGGCACCCTCATAATGACCTTCCACCATACTACACCACCATCATGGCATCAAATAGAAATAGCACACACTGGCGGGATGGCAGCATCAACCCTAGCTTGGATCCCCAAACATAACAGACCGAAATACCAGAACATATGCCCCACTACCGTACCGACACTCCTAGTGTGGGATAGATACGTTAAAGAACACTACCACACCTCCTATATTTCCCCGGCACTACAAATCCAAGCGCTTCATGTCCTTATTCCTGGATTTGACTATGGCATATGGTACAATAGTGGAATTAAATGTTTATCACAGATAATGTCAAAGGGCCGCTTACTGGACTATGACTCGCTATCCAAAAAGTTTAGTCTACCTTCCAAAGCATACTTTACTTACCTACAACTACATTCCTGGGTGAAAAAACACATAAGTGTGGATAGCACAAACCAACAAGACAACAACCTGACCGAGATAGAAAAAATCTGCATGGCCAAAAAAACACCACAAAAACTGCTATCTCTATTATATAAATTATCGGGAACTCAAGTCCCTCCAAAGGCTTTAAAATTCATAAAAGCCGGGGGCGGGGCCGGGCGGCCATGCTAGCAGGCTGCAAGTCACTATGGCTCCTGAGGAATCCAACTAATTTTGAGCAAATACCCACCTTATTCTGCCTGGAATACCCTGGAAGTTCGTGGCATCAAGTCCTGGAGTGTCCCGGTGCAGCTAGAGCACCTGATACAGGTGATTCTGGGTCCTGGAGAGATGCTCTGGGGCTTGGGGACTGAGGCCTACTCGGGAGGGGAGGGGAGTGGGGCGGACGGCCGCTGCCCCGCTTTCTGCCACGGCTAATGCGACACTACACTAAAGCTGACGCCCTCCCCGGCCTCGTTCACCCCCCCCTTTGGACCGGCGGGGGTCATCCCGGTCCCCACCAGGCAGGCAAGCAAACATCTCTGCATCGCTACTGGGTGACTCGACACCGAAAGCGGCTCCCACGCGGCCTTCTTAAAATGGCCGACGGCGGCGCAATCACCCTAATGGCAGGGCAGGAAAGGATGGACCCCTTATGGCGCGCTGAAGAAGAGCCAGTAAACCACATAACCCAAGCTGTAAACACATCTGGAATACGACCCCAGACGGGCACTTACACTGCAGCGGCAATCCTCTGAAACAGGCTCAGTACCTGCTCCATCTAAGCACACCTTACCAGCGCTTTCCACAACTGAGGCTCGAAATCAACACTGGAGGAGTGCTCAGAGAGGCCATCTTCAAACGCCAGCTCCCCTACATGCAGCCCGCACCTGGACATTGTGGCTTGAAAAGCACCGAGCGCATACCCACCTAATGACCGGAAAGTCTGTCAACGGCAACCTGCAGACCCTGAGCGGGACTGAGAGACTCAGTGAACCTCGTAGGTACCCTACAGGGAAGCTCCCCATGCATGGGAATCAACTACCTTTTAACACCTTCCACAGTGTCAGAGCCAGCGGTGACCCCAGCTTCTCACGACGAATTGCACCAACGGCACACACCACTGAAACTACCACCGACAGCCTCAATAAGAGGTTACTTTGGCTGCATTTACTGTTACTCGGACATCTCTGCTGTTACTGCCGCAGTTACTGTTATAGTAAATATTATTTTTATGTCTACCCAGTATGCTAAACTATGCCTGGTGGTACTATATCCAAGTACCTACCTTAGCTAAGCCTGAGAATTATTGTCTCACCAAAATGTCAGTATGTAATTCTATATTAGTACCTCATAAGCTGTAACGTCCACCTGACACATAGGATTAACTCTCAACTAAACTACTATATTGTCAGATCGCATACGTAGCTCATTATCACGCTCCATATTGTTGAAGTGATACACATACTCTTACTCACGCTTCAGTAATCTAACTGAGATCTTGAACCACAAAATAAATAAAATGTGCAAGTTGTATCCTTGCCATACTCATGTTACCCTATGTATCTTATGATCGAGCTTGTGAATGCTGTTGTGGCAATACAAGCACCGCTGTAACTACCTGCACAACAAAAATAAAGAATTAAAAAAAAAAAAAAAAATTCATAAAAGCCTGGGAGAAGGAGCTAGACCTAGACATACCCAACGAAATCTGGTGCAAAATATTGGCTGCCCATAAGCATCTAACACTGAACACGACACATATTGAGACGAGTAGGAAGGTGTTATACCGTTGGTATATGGTGCCTACTAGGCTACACAAATGTGACGGACGGAAATCAAACTCCTGCTGGAGATGCTTGAAAGAGCCTGGAACAATGCTCCACATCTGATGGACCTGTCCGAAGATCAAGTCCTTCTGGGGACACATTTCAAATACGATAAAGGAGTCCACAAAAGTAACTCTACCGTTCACCCCAGAAACATATCTCTTGCTAGCATTACCCCACACATTGCAAAAGGTGGACTTATATCTCATATATCATATTATCATCGCAGCTCTAATGTCTATAAGTAGAGGGTGGCTTAACGAGAACCCACCGAGTGTTGACCAATGCTTAAACATGGTGGATACCACCAAGTCATACGAAATAGCTGCAAGGCGGATGAGGGCGGCTAGCAAGGTTTGGCCGACAGCATGGAAACGATGGGACGACTGGCGACTGTCAGTCCAAAAGAGCACACAACCGGTATAGACCTTGAAGGGACACAGGTCCTCGGAATGTAAGCCGATCCCCCTTCCCCCCTCCCCCCACAAATTCCCCCCCCCCTCTCCTCTTCCCCCTACCTCCCTCCCTCCTGTTTAAGGTTCACAACGATGGCTACACACAGATACTGAAATTAACCGAATAAATGTGATACAGGTATTGATGCAGGTTTAAAGTTCACTGACATACGAATTACTGTTCTGTCATTGCATTAAGTTGTTTCTTTGTTCTATTTATAAATTCGGAGATGTCAGCTATTCTTGAAGTGTGATTGACTTCTGTACTGTGACCACCGTTCCTTTTTTATGTACATCTGTATAACTTGACTATAAAATTGAAATTTAATAAAAAATATTACACACATAAAAAAAATTAGGTATGGTAAAATAATATGGTTATAATAAACATGGTTATTGACTAAATTAAAAATTGTGGAGAATTCACAAAGAATTAAAAATTTTAATATGCCATTGTACAGCGCTACAGAATTTGTTGGCGCGCTATAAAAAATAAAATAATAATAAAATTGCAGAATTCAGAAAAGTCTCCAATTCAGCAGTATGCTTTGCTGTTTGGGTAAAACGTGCAATCCCCTTATTAGTTCCACACAATTCATGGTTTAATAAATTAGCTCACCAATGTTCACAATAGAAGCTTGTTCACTAATCTCAGAATTGCGGCAAACTGAAACCTGAATAGCAAAATGCAGGATTATGTAGCAATCTTGGCCTATATTTTGCAATTAGATTTTCACTTCACTGTTTAATCCCTAATGTTTGTTGCTCAGTGTGTGCGCGTGTGTGTGTGTGTGTGTGTATGTATGTGTATATATATATATGTATATATATATATACACACACACACACACACACACACACACACACACACACACACACAGTGATTGACGTCAGCAAAGGAGGATCAGGCTGCAAGGAGAACTTGGCCTACGTCCTGACCGTTTTATTTTTTGGAGGGTGACCAGTATAGGAAGGGTTAATCTGACCATAAGCAGTGTTTTGGATGGAGTAATCAATATATAGTTTTTCCCACCTTTGCACTTGCTAGATTCATTGTTAACCTAAACATGTTTTCTTTCGTAACATGTTTTTTTTCTTTTCTTCTTCCAGAGTGCAACACAAATATATTTCTTTTACATAACAATGTCATCACTAAACATGGTTTTGTGGAGGATGGAAAAACATATTGCAAATTGTAGGCCAAATAAGCCAAAATGTAAAGATACACGAGTTGCAGATTTTTTTCAAATTTGGGACTGTAATGAAAATGTGCCATTCTTCAATTAGTTCTTAAAGGAACAATATAGTCACCATAACAACTTGCACAACTTTCACGAACACTTACTGTAAAGAGTCATATAATGTTTAAACTTCCCTTGCTTTTATATCCCTTGCTCTGTTAATAGCCTTCTAGGCCCTGAAGTAGCCTCCTGTGTTTGATTAAAGTTCAATTTGCAGAACAGGAGATAAAAAAACATCTAAAGCAAATTAACATCTGATTGAAAAAATAAACAATTTATTTCATGCAGGCTGTGTCATTTACAGCCAAGGAGGTTTGTCTATAGTGTGTAAACAGAAACAAAAGTGATTGAACTCCTAAAAGGCAGAGAATTACATGGGACGTGATCTATACCAGGGGTGCCCAAAAGGTAGATCCTCAGATGTTTTAAAACTACAGCTTCCATGATGCTTTGTCATTCTAAAGCAGTCATAGGCAACCTTCGGCACTGCAGATGTTTTGGACTACACCTCCCATGGTGATTTGCCAGCATTATGTGTATTAGAGCATTATGGGGGATGTAGTCCACAACATCTGGAGTGCCGAAGGTTGCCTATCCCTGTTCTAAAGCATTCTAAAGACATGCAAAGCATCATGGTAATTGTAGTTCTACAACATCTGGGGATCTACTTATTAGGCGCCCCTGATCTAAACACTAGACCTGCTTTGTTAAGCTAGTTGTTTTGATACCTATAGTATGCCTTTAAGTCAGGGCTTGACAAATTTGCTTGGAATCCTGGACCCAGCTTTACTGAGCAAACCCTACAGTACATATGCTGTGTTGATCTTGTCACATTAAGCACTACTGACATCTACAGGCAAATAATATAATAGCACATTCATATTCAGTTATATACATCAGCAACTACAGCTTAGTGAGGGACACAATCACCGCCCGACACCACAAAGGCATGTATTCAGTTCGATCTAAATTCAGACTTCAGAATTCAACAGCTACATATCAACAGGGCACAGGACGGTTCAGAAAGATCTGCTTCAGAATTCAACAGCTACATATCAACAGGGCAAAGGACGGTTCAGAAAGATCTGCATTCACGGAGCGACAGCCAGTAACTCTTCCATTTAACATTCTGTGTGAATTGTGCTTTATTGTGAAACTTAGAGATAAGCTTCACAGCATTATATTGTAAGAGTTTTTCTTATGGGGGTTTTTCACTTGGGTAATAAAATTGTAACAGTATTACGCTATGTCAGTATCTTTTCTATTTCAAGGTTTGGATACATATAAAGACACAGATTTTACGTATATGCTACTGTTGCAGCAACTAATCCCTGTGAATTGCTTGGAAGTACCCTCAATTAAGATTGAAATTGGAACTCTTTGATGGACAAGACATTTTCGGGTTGAACCCTGTGTTTATTACATAGGGGTATATTCACTTAGCGCTGATACTAATTTTGTTTTTATTTTATATCAACAGGGTTGTTTACTAAAGTAAGAATTCAAAGTCAATTTTAAATTTAAACCATCCAAAGATACTAAAGTAGAAGCATAGCTGAAAGAAATTTTCTGATTTGGCTATTTTGACCTTAAGTGGACAATATAGTCATCAGAACTACTACAGCGTAATGTAGTGGGGCCAGTCACCTAAACAGCCACACCACTACTATAGTGTCATGAAAACATGTTGGCCTTCCTGACATTATAGTGTTCCTCTAAATTTTAAATTCACTTTGGATTCTCACTTCAGTGGTGAATAACCCTTTATGCGATTATGTTTAACCTAGTCATTTTCTGACAAACTATTATTGACGGCGTATTAAATACAGTGTCTTGAGAGAAACCAGAGGATTTTGCGGCACTAAATCCTGCAGCAAATGCTTAGGATGTGATGATAATATGGATTCACAACCTTAGTATTCATCCTAAATATTTATATAGGTAAGCAGGATCCCACTATGCTGAACAAAAACCAGAGGGACCAGATCCATAGTCACCTTAGGTCATAACCACTTCCTTAGGCTGTAGCAGTTAAGGCACTTGGAAGTGTACCAGACTGAAACACCTTGCCATGTATGCCCTTAGCTCTTTGCGTTACAGGGCAGTTTTGAAACGTAACTACTAGCTCTGCCTGGTTGAGAATCATGGGAGTTAAAGTGAGTTTACTGTATCTAGAATACATAGCCCATATAACTTTAAGATGCTGGGTGTTCAGCTCCTCGCTGCTGTTAACTGCAGCAATGTGGGACCAATGAGCAAGGACAGAGTTGGGATAGTCCAATGACTGTGTGCTCCAATAAAAGAGTTATACTATTACCAAATTCTGGCACATTACCAGAACTATGTTCCACTTTGCAAATGCATGAAGCAGAGGAGATCCAACCAGGAAAAGGGGGATATAAAGTTATGCTGTCAAATCAGATCAGTCAAATCTCTGATATCATGTTTATGTACCCAGTGATGGTCTCCACACTTAGTGTGCTGCCACAAGTAGTTGAATGGAAAATATTTGCCCAATAAATTGTAATTACCTACCCCATGATCACCACACAATCATGGGACATATTGAAGGGTAGTCCTGCTGTTTAGTAAGTATCAGCCATCCAAGTGCAGGGAAGCATTATTTAAAACAATATTCACATGGTTGAGCTTTTTAAAACCAGTTTGCCTCTTACATACAAGTTACATGGTTGGCATATAAAGGGTTAACATATCATAGATTGGTAAAATAGGTGAGCTTCTTAAATTGTGTATATTAGGGGGTGCTGAACGCAAGGTAGAAAAAAAATACAATTGTGGTAAATTAGTCAGAAGGAAGGATGGGCAAGTCTGTAAATGTAATCTGAATATACATTGCTGCGATACAACCTATATTGTGCACTGCTATCAGAGTGTAATAGTTGCAATAGTAGTAGGTTAAAGGACAGCTAAAGGCACCCAGACAAACTCAGCTCACAAAAAATGGTCTGCATACAGTGGTCCTTTGCTTTAAAACTTTACGGAAAGCAAAACTCACCTTTCAAACTCTCACAGGGAGTACTTCGAATTCCTTTCTCGATTTTCAATTGTCATTTGAATAAAGAGAAAATGCTCTTAAGTTGTGTTGGTGCCTAGAGTGTCCTTTAACATTAAGAAACTGCAAATATATAACTACAGAGACAACTTCACTTCTGATTAGTTGCTTTATCTTCTGGATGGTAATTTTTGGCATAATTTGAATAATTAGAGAAAACCCTTAGTCCTTAGCATGCCACTACTAGCTGATCTACTCAAATAGCTCTTGATTCTTCAGTAAAAGGTAGTGTTGATGATGTTAGAGTAGAAAAGCTATCTTGTAGGTGGTCTTAGGATGTTCGAGGACCTTTTTTCCCCTGCCCTTATCTAGCATGGTGCACTTTATAAATGCATAATTGAAAAAAAAATGAGAGCATGTATGATGCCCCATAAACTCTCAGCATTTAACTTATGCTGAACTATTGCTGTTTCTGTCTGCAGTCCGTGGTCCGGCTGTCAGTGGTTGATGCTTTCCTGAGCATGTATGTGTCTTATTTTTTTATTTTTTTTTGTGCCACACATGATAAGTATCCTATTATCTACCGGCATGTAATCAATATGTTGATGGCAATTTTTTATTGTATGTTTGTTTTTTTGAACTTATTTAATTTTTCAATAAATAAGTTAGACAAATGCCTATATGTATGGTAGGCAATATTCGTATAACTAAAACGAGTCACACAATACCCACAGACAACGTTTAAAGGGACACTATAGTCACCAGTGCAACTATGTGTATTGCTGACCCTATAGTGTTAACACCACCATCTGGCCCCTCATGCCTCCATAAATATAGTAAAACTGTATTGAAGCCAGAAGCTGTAACTCTGCATGCTGTTTGCCTAAAAAAAAAAAAAAACAGTCTGCTGACATCATCAGAAGTGGTAGCCTGATCCAATCACAGTGCTTCCCCATAGTATTGGCTGAGACTAACAGAGAGGCAGATCAGGGGCAGAGCCAGCATGATTCAAACACAGCCCTGGCCAATCAGCATCTCCCCATAGAGATGAATTGAATCAATGAATCTCTATGAGGAAAGTGCAGTGTCTGCATGCAGTGGAAGGAGACACCGTTCTGCCCTGTGCTCTACTGACAGCAGATCTGAGTGGATTGAGGAGTTTTATGCCTCAATCAACTTGGAAGTCCCTCTGGTGGCATTCTGAGTGACTGCAACTGGAGGTGTTCCTATCTTTCAATGTAAACACTGTATTTTCTCAGAAAATACAGTGTTTACATGAGACAGGCTGCAGGGAGCTATAGTTCTCACCTGAACAACCCCATTAAGCTGAAGTTGTTCAGGTGACTATAGTGTCCCTTTAATTACTTTTCAATGGGCTTGGCTGTGGTGTTTATTCAAAGCTCAAGGGGCATACAACCATAACTTTGTAACCATAACCATATAACTTATGGTTCACCAACTTTCAAAACTTTTAACTTTATTAACCACCAAATAGCCAGTCAGTCATAACTAACCTGACCGTGTTTTACTTAAAACTTTCAACTTTATTGCCAGTCAGTCATAACTAACCTGACCGCCTTTTATTTAAAACCATTTACCACCATATTCTTCCTCAGAACTTGACCCTGAGGATGACTTTTGCCCCAATGCTTCAAAACACCACGACAATACAGTTTGTTATGCTAATTCAAATAATAAATGGAACACAACTGCAGAAGGACGTTGAATTATTTTTTCTTTATTTTAACTGAAATGAAAAAAAGCTATTACTGTAGCTTTAAAACTTTAGCTAGTTGTTGAAAGGAAACAAGCAGCAATAGTTTTGCAAAAGCCAAGCAGTCCTAATTAAGGATTAGTCCAAGTATAGGTTGAAGATTCAGAGTGAAACTTAATTGCAGCAGATAGAAAAATGTAGCTTTCAATTTGCAACAGAGAGGCAGTTGTAATTGCATAAGCAGGCAGAGACCAAAATTAATTGAAGAAAAAATACTTAGCGTTCAGTGGGAGTAGGTTCCGAAGCACTTATTAAGTGTTGCATCCAGATATTGAATACTTCCTTTGAAACAGAAGCAGAGGTCCTTTTTTCAATCCGAGGTCGAGGAGAAGAGAAGGTAGGTAAACGGAATTCAGTCCAGGGTTC